TTAGGGCTGGGGGGGGGTGCTCATCAATGAGGCTGAAAAGGAGGAATAGAACAAAAGCTACTGGGCCTCAAAGGCAAGGCAGAGGCCCTGGGACTTTGTCCCGAGGGTGCTGGGGAGCCACGGAGAGGCTAAGAGCAGGGGAGAAGCGAGGACAGCCCTGGTGTCAGAAATCCCCTCATGAGGCCAGGGAGGAGGCGGCCAGGGCTGGGGCCATGGGGACAGAGAAGGGGTGAGGCAGGGAGGAACAGCAGAGGAGGGCACAGCAGCGCTCTGGTCTGTGAGGTCAGGTAGGTGGCGGCACCGCACGCCGGCGTACGGATTCCTGGAGGAGCTCTGACTGGGGGCAGACAGGTGGCAGTGACTCTCAGAGGCCCCCGAGAGGACACTCTGGGTGTGGAGACCAGGAAGGCGGTCTGAACTGGAGGTGGGCTTGAGGACAGTCAGCAAGAAGAGCTCCAGTGTGACAGGGAGGAGGTGGCTGAGACCGCCCCCGGCGAGTCCCCACCTGGGAGCGTGTCCTGCTGACACGCGTGCGTGTGCCCAAAATGAGGCAGGCACGTGGGGGTTCCTGGAGTGCTGCGTGAAACCACCCAAAGGTCCATCCACAAGGGGCCAATGAATTCAACCCCAAGCCAGCCATGCACTCTGCATCCAAGATGGAAACCTCTCTGGTTTCAAGGGGAGGAAAAAACTAGGGCAACGCACTTTTTGTAAGACGATTTACATACACATTTGTGTGGTTACATAGAGAGTATCTCCAAAGCAGTGCACAGGAGACCAAAAATGCGGGCGGCCCCCCAGGAAGGGGAATGGGTACCAGGCTGGGGTGAGCGCAAGGCCCTTTGCTTTGGATCCTGTTTTGAGTTCTGGGCTCTATCCCGGGTACCCTGATAAAATGAAACAGTAAATGAACTCTCCGGGGACAAGCAAGAATTAGGAAAGTTTAATGTGGACAGAACCCCAAGGAGCCTAAACTAGCTCAGACGTTGACTGGAATATACCACAGATTAACTCTGCTGGCTCCAGAGTGATCAAAAAACCCCTAGAGAAAAAGAAAGTAATCAGATTGATGAAGATCTCAATCTCAATCCACTAAAAAGTTACAAAATGGGGGGCGCCTGAGTGGCTCGGTCGGCTAAGCATCCGACTTCGGCTCAGGCATTATCTCACGGTTCACAAGTTCGAGTCCCGCGTCTGGCTGTGTGCTGACAGCTCAGAGCCTGCAGCCTGCTTCAGACTCTGTGTCTCCTTCTCTCTCTGCCCTGCTCCTGCTCGTACCCTGTCTCTCTCTCAAAAATAAATTACAAAATGGTCCAACAAATGCCTGGGGCAAGAATGCACCTGCAAATGAGACAAAGGGTTAAGAACTCGGAGTCTGAACCCTGTCCAAGAAAGCACCAGTCAACACTACCAGGGCAATCTTAGAGGTCACATGAAACATAGACCGGAGAAACATGAGACATGCTGGCACATGCTGGTGGAGAAAGAAATGCCAAGTTAGAATAACTCAGGGACACTGCCCTATGTATTAAAAGCCACAAGGGCGCCTGGGTGGTTCCATCGGTTAAGCGCCGACTTTGGCTCAGGTCATGATCTCACGGTTTGTGAGTTCGAGCCCCACATTGGGCTCTGTGCTGACAGCTCAGAGCCCAGAGCCTGCTTTGGATTCTGTGTCTCCCTCTCTCTCTCTGCCCTTCCCCCACTCATGCTCTCTCTCTCAAAAATAAACGTACATTAAAAAATTTTTTTTTATATATTAAAAGCCACAAAAGGGGCACCTGGGTAGCTCAGTCGGTTAAGCGTCAGACCTCAGCTCAGGCCATGACCTCGTGGCTTGTGAGTCTGAACCCCACATTGGGCTCTCTGTCGTCAGACATTTTTTTAGTGTTTTTAAATAAACATCTCTCTCTGCCCCTACCCCTGCTCTCTCTCAAACATAAATAAACATTTAAAAAAAATCTTTTTTAAAAAGAGCATTTGGGGGGAACAACCGCCCACCACACCCCTTTTATGTCGTTTCGCCAGTAGAGCCACACGAGTGCGTCCCCTTTTCATAAAAGTGTCTCGGATCTGCCGTAGAGATTCCACTTTTAGTTCTGAGTCCCCGGGAAAAGAATTCAAACTCACCAAAGAGGGCCTGGATAACACTGCTATTTATTAACCACACTGAGCAGGAAGCTACATGTGGAACATTTGGGGAACAGTTTAATCAACAGCCATACGACACCGTGGAGCGTTGCACAGCCATTACGGCGGCCCCGCGAGCCATTCGTGTGTGTTTCTGAATAATAACGTACAGTGAACGGCGGAAATTCAGTAAAGCCTGGGCACTGGGATTTCCTTGGAACCAAATCGACGGTTGCATTCGGCTGCTGAGTTGTTTTTTACTCTGATGTATTTCAATATACTTTTGAATGTTTTTAAATAGACAAAGGGAGGGGGTGATCAATAGCAAAGCCAGGCAGTGGCCTCCCAGTGCGCAGACAGGGAAGACATTCCGGACAGGGAAACGGGTTCTATTTACATCATCCGGCCCTCGACTCCACTAAGTATTAGTTTTGTTTTCACTTCTAACATAATTTCTTCATGCCCCAAAGCTTCCGAAGGCCTGGCATCCTGACAAAGCAGCCTAAACTGCTCAGGGCCATGGGCAGATAAAGGCCGGGGAAGGATCCCAAGGTGGGGCTGCTGGGAGGAACGGAGCCTGGGGGGGGGGG